TTTAGAATTGGGGCTCCAGTCAAAAATCGCTCCAAAAATTTTTTATGCATTTGGGGTTGTTTCTGAGGGTACAAATAGTAAATTTAAGGCGGGGGAGACATATTATTTCCATTATTTCAGACATTTTTTCTAAACTGTATTTATTCTAAAATATATATTCTTGTTTTTGATTATTAATAGCATGACGAAAAGGATGGGAGGTGCGTTGTTAAGAGAACATAAATATTTTTAATAATCACAAAATTATTTATGCCCTTTTAACACGCACCTTCCATCCTCTTCGTCACTTTATTATTCGAACTTAAGCTATACCTACACCTAAAAATCGTGTTTTTCTCGATGAAACCTCATGAAACATGTCTCCCCCACCTTTAATTATCTAATTCTACCTAACAAAATAGTTTCCAGGTGGTGAAAAATTTTTTGGAGCGATTTTTGACTGGAGCCCCAATTCTAAATAATTACCAGGTTTTTTAATGGTATTATTATCTACGATCGAATAACACACTGAGCTTGCTATTGATTGTTTCGTTCATTGAATAATTTTTTGTTATTTTACTCTTAGGATGGATATGTGTAGGTTTGATCTCGTTTGATGATAGAATTATCATCTTGATAAGCGGCAAACCCGGAAAAAGTAAAATAGATCTACATTGATCTACTCCAATCTATTCTTCGGCGCAGCTAGATCTACTTTGTTCCGTGTACATCTGTTTTGATGATTTTAGATCTTCTGTGATATCTGTATATGTATTAAATTTTTTTTTTTATATCGAGATCAATGAAAATCTTCATAGACGTACAGTAATTTTCGTAGATATGTGTTGATTTTACTAGATGTACATAGATTTACGTACATTAAATTTGCTTTAGCTTTTTTTATATGAGTTGATCCAATTAGGTTAAATTAGATCTAAAACATCGCGATAATGTGGACCTGTGTAGATCCATTTTATTTTTCTCTGGAAGGTCTCACTTTGGATCAATGTTTCAATTACATATAGCATAAACAAGTTTCATTGTAGTGTTACTTTAGTTTGACGAATTCTAGCTCAACTATTGTTTTTAAAAAATCTTTAATTCTAAATTGGAAGTGGTACTAACAAAAAAACAACAGTACTATCATCTACTAACGAGGCACAATCCTTAAGAATTTTCCTTTCTTTATTTGAAACAAAAAAAATTTTTATTTTGATTTTTTTTTTAAATTGGAGCTGGTACTAACGAAATTAAGATTGGCACACTCATTTTCTCGTTGAATACTATAGATATCCGTTATTTTTTACTTTTCTTTCGCGGGAGAGTTCACACAGCTCAAAAAGTCGGGTTTTTCTAGTTTTTTATTAATACAAAAATCACTTAGCCCATGAATTTTTAAAAGTAACTACTAATTAACCACTAAATGTTTGTGAGTTGTCCATTTTCTGTATCTAACAATCACTGAAAGAATTGTCTGAATGATAAAATCACAAAAAAAAACTGTTCTACCACAGCGTGTAGCAACATGCACACAATTACAGTGGAGTTGTTCGGGTGTGTACTGTGTGTGCGACTGTCCGTGAGGCACTATGGCGTCGACGCTAGCTCAGCTTCGCGCCCAAAAACACTAAAACGGATTGATCTGGACCACTGGCACTGTGTAGACTGTTTATTATAGTACACGTTTGTTCTTGAGACTTGTATTGAAACGACTGAACTGAATTCCGACTAAAAAATGTGAGTTTGCTGCACAAATATGCGATTTGACTGCGAGAAATTTTACAGAGTCGACCGCGTGATTTGCCTGGAGCTAACTGACACCACAATTGCTCGACTGCGTGCTTGTTGGCGTTACTAGGGCCGTAGAGTTGTCTGCTGGGCCATGAGGGAAATACTTCTCGACAATTGGTCCAGTAATATGACTGAAGCGCCGATGGACAAGTCCGGCATTAAGCAATTTTGAATATTTGTAGACTATCTGACTTAGAGCCATCCAAGTTAGACCACATATCAATATTAAGAGATAAAAATAATGCCAAATAATAAGCGTCGTATTGAGAAACATCGTTTAAAAAAAAAATAGCACATATAGATAAGTGTAGTGAAAGTGTTGAGGATTGTGTGTCCTCTCGTGATGAAAGTTTAGCTGATCAAAACCTTGACAGTTCAGAAAATGCAGAAGTTCTCACGTCTCCGTTATTTTTTAGTGAAAATCTCGATGTAGAAGTTCTAATCACAACAACGCCATCGAATTCATCTAATCAAAATGCTGTTACAGAAACTCTCAATGCGTCAGCATCATCAAATGAAAATATTAATCTTTTATTCGAAAATACATCCAGAAATGGAATAAATTACAAAATTCTTTAGTAGGCACTAAGAATTCGAATACTCTGCAATTGAATCTGATTACTGAGCTGTTGTTGTTATTAAGAGAGGAAAGTTTTCTGTCTCTATCGAAAACCACGCAAGCCTTATTAGGTACGACTCATCATCGAATTTTACAGGTAATGGAAACAAGTAAAGAAAACAATAAACAGTATACATACATAGGAATAGAGAGGAATCTGAAACAAATAATTTCACCTGATCTGTATTTAGAAGATGAAATAAGTATATTTGTGCATATTGATGGCATGCAGTTATATAATAACTCCCAAGTTTAAGTGTAGCCAATAACTGTGAAAGTATTTTCCATGATAAATATGTTTCGAAAACCTTACGTTGCTGCGATTTATTGTGATGATTCAAAGCCTAAAAAAGTGTGTGAATGCTTACATGATTTTATTCAAGAAGCAAAAGCATTGATAAACGATGGTGTAACTGTAGGCAAGAAAAGGTATTTGTGTTATAATATTGCTCTTATTGCAGACTCTCCAGCTAGATCATATTTGAAGTGCATTAAAGGAGCTGGTGGCTTTTATGTCTGCGAAAGAACAAGGTAGAACAAGGTTGAAATGAAAAACGAATTTATCTCGTAATATATACATCATTTCATACAAAAGAATCATTTATAAATAAAGGACAAGTTGAACACCATACAGTTGGCCTTGAGACTACACTACTTCAAATACCTAATTTCAATCCAGTATGTTCAGTTGTATTAAATTCAATGTACCTTCTGTACAGTGGAGTGATGAAAAATCTAATGGACATATGGTTATCAAGAAGTCGTGCTCCACATCTTCGCGTGCAGCATGTTAATTGTCTAAAGCACATGATGATAAATTTAACTCGTGATATACCAAGTGAATTTCAATATCAGTGAGAGAAAGAAGAAGAGAAAGAGAAAAATTTAGATAGAATTGTAAATACATATACATTTTTGAGAACCAAATCGGTTGCCCACCGTGAGTCTCACAGTGAACATCACAAAATGTTATTGGCGTTTTTGACAAAACTAGTGGAATTTATTGTGTTAGAACAGTTTTGAAAATTACAACAATAAGTGATGATCAAAGTTATCTTTACGCCATCATAAGTTTTATTAAAAAAGTAAGAAAGTGTTTAGCACTTTGATGATTACAGTTAGAAGTTTGAAAAATATATTAGGCTCAGGGAATGCTGAAAATAAAAAGAACTAGGAGATCCTATATTAAATAATCAACAATATTTATTCACGTTTGCTTCACACCAATTCGCTAATTTGAGTGTTCAATGTTTGTGTCATGTCTATATGATGAGTGTGTGTTAGTGCAGACATCATCAACACAATGCATGAGTGTTCGAAAGATTTTACTATGAATTTGAATCGTTGTGGAGCTCTGGCTGAGTGATGATGGAGTTTCTCTATTGTCGTTGCACTGATACACACATTCTATTAACTTTATGGATCTACAGCCCGGCTTGACACAACAACTGAGTGTACACGTGATCGCGGCTAACCTGCAAGATCACAGTCGAATGTTTGAGCTGGTGTTGGCACTTCTTTTTCACTTCTGGTTCACTTAGTTGAGTTTGTACGAAGTAGTGAGAAATGATAAGTGTTTTTTTGTGGAGTGTTGCACTAAATTCACGAGTTTTTAGCATTTGAAGTGTTGCATAAAACGATTGAACATCCGTACGTGTTCGGTCGAGTGTCGGGAATGGCGTTATGCCGCCAATTTGTGAGTTTCATGAACTGCTGATGGCTCTAGAGTGTGCTGGAGTGAGTGCTGCGCCATCTCAGCTGACGGCGCGGAATTTGAGTTTTTAAGTTTTTAACAGAAAGAAACGTCCCAAATGGACTTTGTACGATCATCGTGGATTGTAAAAATAAACGAAAACAATATGTTCTGTGAATATCCACCAGAAAAGGATTATCGCAAAATACCAGACTGGCTGTCATCTTTAAAGTATCCAGAAGATGAATGGAATTTATTTCTAGTGACAATAATTTCATGCGCACGTGAGTAATTTTTTTACATGAATTATTTGTATAATTCCGTGTTAATTTCAAATACTGAACTTTCCTTTTATATAATTTGATCGAGGAATAGAACGAGGCAATCGTAGCCTAACCTAACCGTTTATGGATAGGGATGATTGTGTCAGAACAGAGCAAACGGAAGTCAGGTTTTATAAAAAATATAATTTCTTTATTTTTAGCACCAACCATACACAAGATACACTGAAAGATTTTTTGTTACTAAATAAGAAGACTGAATGTCGTGAGAAATCACTGAATGTCAATTTTTGATTCACTGAATTTTTATTGAATGTCTGAGAAATGTTTCTGTTGAATTTAAGTTGCACTAGTACTAATGATTGACTCAGAAAATAAAGAATTATGAGAGAAGAATTAGAATTCGTGTACACGTGAATGAGAACAGGGAAAGAATGGCGACAAGAACTTCATTAGTCAAAAAGGACACTGAAAATTAGTCAAATGAGTGACTAAAATTGAGAACTATTGAGTATTTGGTCGATTGGTTATCGACCCCGTCCCAAGATGGCCGCCGAAGTTCCTGTCAGCTGGCAATTCAAACTGAGAATTGATTAATTCTCAACAAAGGTAAAGAATGTCACAGCAGCCACAAAAAATTAACGCCTAGAACAATGAAGAAAATGGAGCGGGGAATAGAGCCGTTGTTCTCAATTAATAATTTATGATTAATTTTCAAAATCGATGACCCAAGGAGAGTTCATAAAGTATTACCTGTAGAATCACTACAAAATATAAAAACATCAACTATTAAAAAAGTTGGTCAATATGGTAAGGAATGAACTTCTTTTCTTTCAAAATTAATAAAATAATATTAATTAGAAAAGAATTTATTTTCACTTTTTTCAGAAGAAGTCTTGAAAGATTTAACATATAAAATAGACCAAAATCATCCCGAATAAGGTTAGTAGCATTATTGTAACAGTCTGGACTTAGTTTAATATATGCAATGTATTTAATTCATTTGTTGACTTACAGCATTATTGAAAAACTACATGGATGCAAAATTCCTAAAAATGACGAGAGAGATGAAGGATCAACTTACTTCCATAAAGAGAAGTCTACAAAATGATTTAAAAGAAAAGGTTGATGAACTAAAACATAATTTGATCATGAACACAAGAGCTCAAGCTCCAACTACGGATCTATCAGATGCCAAAAAAAACATTAAAAGAAAATCTTCCTTTCACGACAATTGAAGGTTTTTTGAGATTTCAAGAGTTACCCCAAAAATGACTACAGATGACGAAAGAAAAATTAAAACAGCAAGGTCTTTATGAAGAATATGAACAGGTATTTAAAGAGTGGCTCGAAGAAGGCATCATTAAAAAGGTTCCAGCTAAAGAATACAGTATGTGGGGTCATGACTTGCCTCATCGTCATGTGTTGAAAGATAATAGTACAACGAGGTTACGACCAGTGTTTGATGCATCAGCAAGTGTACAGTTGGAGTATCATTAAATCAATACCTTGAACCGAGTCCGAATTTAATAGAGTTGATTCCTACAATGGTTCTGCGTTTTCGAGAAAAAAAAATAGGGATTATTTCAGATGTTAAAAGAGCATTTCTACAAATTAGTATCACACCTGTTATGTCCTGACGGACTTCAATTTAGTTTTAGGTTAAATAAAATAAAAATACACTACTACAGTTATAGTTAGGTGTACCTAATCCTTACCACTACATTCAAGTCCAACGCACATGTTCGTGCAGCTGGCGAAAGCCACTGCGCACGCGCGTGAACTTAGAGCTCAAAACATATTCGAGTAGTTTTAGGGAATAATTGTTCGATCTCCTGATAACCAAGGGATTTTAATAATAAAATCTATTCATGCATCTATTCAAGACAAAAAATTTATTATTATATATAATTTTTCTATATGTTTCATATTTTAGGAGTAAATTGAGATTAAAGATGCCAAGCAACAAGGCCCCGGCAGGGCAGACAGGGGTCTTGAGGCCGGCATGGTAGGCACTTGAGGCGCGCGGCTAACGGTTCTCTCTTCGCGTTCATGCTCTCCTAATACTCTCTGACACGGAGAGGTACTTTATTTATTCAATGAATCGAGAAATATTAACAATTTACCTGCCGATTTTTGGCAGATATGTTCCTGAAAGGGGTCTCATTACCTAGGACCCAAAAATCCTCTAAATTTCATATTTTAAATGTTCCAACAAAAATAAGTAAACTGAACATGTGCATGTGTACACATACATGCTTACCGACTGATGCGTTTTCACAGGCAGCGTCAGCCAAAAGTTTAAACAAAAGCGAGATGTAGGATCTGTTGACTGGACGTTCCCATGACTAAATTCGAAGTAATCAGCAATAGTAATATTATAAAACAAAATTAATGTTCCGTTACAAATTGCCAAAAACGCGAAGAACAGCGTTTAAATTAAACACCTGAAAACTCCTGACGTTGCTCCTGTATCCCCATCCATACAGCAACATTGGACGTTGAGCTCCGAAGTCACAATTAAAAGAAACTCCATTTTTTTTTGTTATTTCAATTTAATTAGTTTTTCTTTTTTTTTTTCATTTCAATGTAGTGACGCAATTATTAACAATTCTACGAAAGAAAGGTCACGAAGATTTACCAAAAAAATTTTTAGCAATTATTGGGAACGAAACACTCTCGTCCTATGTAAACTATTATGAGCAAGCGCGAAACAGCGAGTAATTATACATACATCGGAATTGAAAATGTTTTGGAAAAAATAATATCTTCAGATATTTATAAGAAGGAAACTATATCTGTACAAATTCATATCGATGGAATTGTACTCTTTGATAATTCAGTGACTCAAGCGTGGCCTTTTGTACTAAAAGTACATGATCGTGATTATGAAAGCAGCCCTGTATCTGTAGTCTTATGCTGTGGTGATTCAAAACCAAATTTATCGAATGATTTCCTAGAAGATTTTATAAGAGAATATTTTACAAACGGCTGCAAACACGTTGTAGTCGGCGTCGTAGACCTAGCACAATAGAAGGACAACTATCATTGGCTACGTTGGAGAAGACGAGCTGTAATTAGTTGAACGCTAAAAGAAGAGCTAGGATCGGGTGAGCTCGACTGAGCACGAGCTAAGACGAGAGCGAGTCCAGCTGACAGGTTGCGATTAACCTCTCGCAACACCATAAAAAACTATCGCAAAATTAACAAAGTAAAATTACGTGGTATCACTGTTTCATGTAGTCATCCTGATAATATTATACAATTAGATAACAATAGAATATTTTTCATTGAGAGTGTGTTAAACGTTAATGGTAATTGTTTAAGACAAGGGAATATTGAAAATTTGTTTGTATACAAACAAATATTGAAAGGGTTATAATAATTTATCATTTTAAGGATAAAAAATATGCAGAGTTGTTGTTTGCAACATCTTTAAGAGTTAAGTTTATTTTTATTTCAGAAGACTGTAATCAAGGGATCCAACGACTTGAAAAATCTTAAAGGAAAAGGTTTGTCTACGAAAGATTTGACAGTAATATGTTCGTCGACAATGGCAGTCAACCTATAGTTTTAAACTCCCCCAGGGTAGCTTGCACACGAGCAAGATCGAGAAAACCTCTCGAAAATGCAGCATTTTCCCCAAACGGGGTGGATGTAGAAGCTAAAACTAATATTCACAAAGATTCTTTTGGCAATAACATTTTAAACATTAATCAGCAAAATGAAGAGGCGGTAACAGGATTGTCGCCAACGGATATCACAGGTATTTATTATCATTTTATCTAATAAAATTTCAATTCTTTACTGACGATTAAATCAATTGTAATAAAAACAAAAAATCAAAGAATTACTCGTATCAATAAGCCTAATTATCAAAACGAAAAATTTTCAATTAAATCTAAAAGTTATGGAAAGTTTCTTTCATGTTTTATCAATGTATTTTGATAATTCTTAGTAGTTCTTCATTTATATTTTAATTAATAATAGTATGGTGAATTTTTTTACAATTTTTAAGAGTTGTCAATATCCGTAGCTTGGCGCTGTACATGGGAGGTTTCTTACGATGAGAATTAAGGAGCCTTCGACAAAGCATCAATCACACCATAAATGAACAAACTCAATTATTATTGAAAACAGTTCAGTATTCAGGAGATGTACCAGAGAAACAAAAAGTATGGAAAGAGATTGGCGAAGATGTGCCATTTGATGAAATCGAAAAATTCAAACAATTTGATGATTCTTTAAAAAATAGTCAACAAAAAGAAAATTGCATTGGTATTTATCAGTTTTTTATAAATCAGATGCATTCTTACAAATTATTCCAAGTTAATGAATTATTATACAATTTTTAGAAAATTATCTACACATTTGTTTACGGGAGGATATTTTTCAAATGATCTCGGCTGGAAATACTAATATAGAAGATGATGTCCACGCGATCATCATGAAATAAATAAAAAAAAAGTATATAATCAATATTTAATTAATATGTCAGAAATATAATATCAATTATGATTATATAATAATGTTTATTATTGTAGAATTTCTATCAGCCAAATATGCTGCATCCAAGGGACAAACAACAGTAGTGACTGCTGTTAGTCGTTTTTTTGTCCGGAGTAAAAGACAGAGATGGTGGCAGATCTCAACGTCAGAAAGTTTTTCATCCACAATTACCTCCACCATCACAAGACTAACTTCTATATATGATGTAATTGAAATTCATATAGAGCAATAGATAATGTAATGGGAATTATTTTTATTGTTCATATTATTATTCCAACATGGCTCAGTGTTGCCCATGAAACATGGGCCAGTCTTGACAATTAAAGATGGCCCCAACTTGAAAATCAAGCGTGGGTCAATCGTGGCAACCATGCATGGCTCCGTGCTATCATTCCAGATTCTCACCATGGCTGGGCCACCACTAGTTTACAAGATTGGCCCAAAGTTCTGCAAAGTTGGCCCAAGCTTAGGCCTATTTTAGCCCCGTCATACTATCCTACTTAGAGATGCCGTTGAAGAGACACATACAATATCAGTCACTTACAGCAACACTAAGCGTCTCATCCATACGATAAGACTGCCGAAGGTGTTAATACAGCACTCTTAAGCCGGCATTATTTCGGTGAATGTAGGCTGAGCGCGTTAGTATTGAACAAGTCGATTAGACATAAAATAGCATCACATCTACATCGCTGTAGCAAACTCGGCATCTTGTGTCCTTGAGTTGCTCGTGTATAAAATCACGCCCATAGGTGAGTGTTGAAAATACGCCATCTTGGTAAGCCATAATGAATCCTTCAGTCATTTGTTCTTCTCCTTTAGGATCAGTAACACGGCAGTATTCAGAGTATGATGTTCAAGTCTGATACTGGCCACGATACGCCGAATTCTTGGCGTATAAAGTCTGTGAGTATTTAAATGATCTATCACAATCTAAATACGGGATGCATCCCGTCGAACGTTTCTGCTCGTGTTTGCAATTTATTCAATGCGAGATCTTTGTTGGTGCTAACAAGTTATTCTGCAGAGAGAGTAATTTGCCAAATCTAGAGTAGCAGTAGATGATCGGTGCCACGTCACCCGCACATTTTGCCCCTAGTCCAACCATTGCCTTACGTCCAACTAGCACGCTCTCGCAGCTCATATTTATAGTGGCGAGTAACACGCTACTCTGTACAGAAAAGTTTGAGCATGACGTCAAGACGCAATGTTTAATTGTAAATATCTCTTTGACTAATCAACATCGACATCATAGAATGATTTTCAATATACAATCAATAATGACCATTAGCTTTTATCGAGTATTCATCGAGATACAGATTAAGCCACGCCCCTAACTCCGTTTTTCGCACATTCCAATTTGAATCCTTGTCTTTTCTTTGTCAGCATGGATTTGGATGCTTTTAACAAAATAATATTGTTAATGATGAAATATGACTCATAAAAATTACACATTGTTTATAACAATACGAATTTGTTATAAACAATTAAAAATTGTATTAATTGATTAAGTAATGTGTATATCACATGGATTTAGATGTTTTTAACGAACCTTGATTATAACTATTTAAATTTGTTATAAACAATCACTAATAGGAAGTTCGTCGTGTTAGCACAGACAAAGTGTGCTCAGACCTATTTTTTCTTTTTCCTTTGTGTTATCACAAAGTATTACGTATCTAGAATTGGGACATTTAAACGTCGAAATCTTTATTTGAAACTTCACTCAATCAATCGATTCTTATGTAACGCAATCATGCCACATCGATTATTTACAATGAATAAGAGATTCTATTAATTACCTGAAAGAATAAATGATTTCTCATTTTCGTCTATCAATTCTCTTAATTTATTACTGTTTATACCAGTCAAATAGCATTCACCCTGACAAATTTGCGAGAATAAGCTTGTATCGTAGCATAGATAGAAAAAAACCAATACATCCTATATCATTTGTCAAACTTAATCTCTTTACCCTTGTGCACTGCAAATCCCAAGATTCCAAAAACGTGTTAAAAGAACACACATAAAGCGTATTCAATGTTAAATGTCCAGAAACAAACTATACAATATTTGTAGATACTTTTTACACATTTCATAGTGTGTGAAAAATCATTTACGGAATTTAACATTGAAGAGGCTTAGCGTGTTGAAAGTGTCTTCAAGAATAACAGCCTAGGATTTGCAGTGTGAAAAGATTGGTATCATTTCGACTTCGTTATCAACTTGCCTTGCTGTAAACATTGCTAAAAAAATGTCATAAGACGTGGCCCAATTGTTGTAATGTTGTCTATTGATAAAAGATTTCCGGTTATAATTCTTAAAAATTTAGCCGCGTCTTATGATATTTTTTTTAACTAGCTACTTTTTTAGATTAAGTAAAAATTGATTGCAAAAAAAAATTTATCGGAAATTTCCAGCTACAAAATCACTTTTTAAATTATTTCAAGAAAATTCGAAAAAGTATTTTCTTACACAATTCATCGAAAGTAAAGAAAAAAAGACTTAATTTTATAGATGGCATAGCACTCCATTTGATTTCAAACTTTTTTGATGTTCCAAAATTTTTCTAAATGATTATTCAAAAATAAAAATTTGGTTATTTGCAGAGTCCTTTGAGACGTGTACATGGCGCAAAGTTTTATTTTCATCCGATGATGGCAGTTTTAGTGGGACACTTCAAACACTTGAAGGAAAATTCTGAATAAGATTTATGCTATCAAATGTTTATTAACATTTTGATCAAACATTCGATCTACAATTTCTTATGCACACATATGTGATTTTTTTATTAAACAACTGATAAAAACAATTTTATGGTTTTGCGATTATGGCAAGTCCAACTTGGCGCAATTATATGATTTCAAACATTTTTTTCATGGAGAACAATTTGAAAATATCTGATTTTCAAACAACAGTGACGTGGCGCCGTTTTTTTACGGATATCGAACGATATCCGTTTCGGGTGGATATTGTATTTTCTCTAATTTAGTGACAGTGGTATAGTTTGAGAAGGAGAAAATATGAAAGCCATATTCCCATTAGCTCCTGATAAGGGAGCGTTAAATGTTGAGTAGAATAGAAGAGTTAGCATCTCACCATGTGGTTCTAAGCATTTTGATTATTGGGAAAAAGGTCTTTGCTTTCAACGCGACATGAGCCAAATGTGGTACAAATGTTAGCTTGGGGTCAAATATAACTTCGAAGAGTTCAGCCTGGAGTTGTGGGATGATGGTGGTACCGTTAGTAGTAAGGTTAAGTGTACGGGTGCTTTTTTTTGTAAAGACCATAAATTGAGTTTTGGAGGACAGAATATAAAGATTTTTCACCGAGAGAAATGGGGTGATTTTATCGAGAGACCGTTGGATGGATTAAATATCAAGATTAATTAAGGCGTTCGAGGCAATGAAGTAGAAGTCGTCAGCAAACTTTAGGATTCGAGAGTTTTGATCAATGTGGTGTGGGGCATCGACAACGTAGGACTCAAAGAAGAAGGGAACAGAGATAAGGCCCTAGCCTATACCCCTATTTGCCCTCCTCGGGCTGAAAAGGCGGTTGGCATTAACAAACTGTAGCAGGATAGAAAAGCGTCTACGTTAGAGCCCGGAATTTTTAAATTGGGGCGGGAAAGAAGTTGAGAGTTCGGTTTTTAAAATTTTTAATTTTTTGCTCGATCAGACCGAGGGGTATGTGATCATTAGAAGTATGGCAGAACGCAATCCACTCTTTCCTCTTGGCTTGATTGAAAGTACAGCACAAGAGAGCTCCTTGTAGTTGTCTGTTAAAGAAGGTGGGCTCTCTTGGGTAAGCTTTGTAGGCATTGTGAGCAGCCTGGTGGTTCGATTGAGCCTGGTCGCAGATTTCGTTCTACTAGGGGGCAGGGGACCGAGGGTTCGTGGCGCGTGAGTTGCAGAAAGATTGGTGAGAGCTGTGGTGGTATTAAATTTTGTGTTTGTTGCGATTCATTTCCATTTGAAGATCGTTCAGAATTATATAATGATCCAGAACTGAATACATTTGATGAATTTTTGAGTATTCTGAGGTATACTTTTCCAGCTGAAGACGATATAGTGCCATTCAAGAACGAGGATTTAGAATACCTGTATGAAAATCCAGATAAACCTGAAGAATAAGAATGTCTAATGATAACAATATTTATTGTACTCCATCAAAATGGCGTAAAGCCACTAAAGAAAATAATAAAAATGTAAGTACCAATTAATGTGTGCATAATAAAGACGAAAGATACTCATAATTAATAATATATAGAAAAATCTACCTTATACTACATGTAGATCATTTTCCAGGCTCGAAAACAGCATTATAGAAGTAAATGGGAACAAGATCAGCATAAAAAGTACTTACGAAACAATTTCTGACGTAAAATACGCCTTTATTATTGATGAATCAATAGATATTCCAATTAAAAGTACTTTGGCAATTACTATAAAATATTCATCACAAAATTTTTGTATTAAAGACAGCTTCTTGATCTGGTAGAAGTTAATGATAAAACATCAGAACTTTTATTTAACATCATCTATAACAGTGTCACACAGTATAGATTGAAATTATCAAATTTAATAGGATTTTCTGCTGATACAACCCGTGTCATGTTTGGTGAACACTCCAATGTTATTCAAAAGCTTTGCGAAATATCGCCCAACAATATATATAAAATGTGTTTGCCATTCGCACCAAGCACTCAAGTCTCATGCACATGTTCGTGCAGCAGGCGAAAGCCAATGCGCACGCGCGCAGACTTAGTGTCCGAGCGGAAAACTTTTATAGTTCTACATATAATAAAAATTGATCCCCTGATAACCACGGAATCTATGACATGAATTCCATTCATGCCATCATACTATATTTTTATGCGTTTAGTATTTCAAGAAAGAAAATAAGTTTAAAAATGCCAAGCGGTAAAGTCGTTCGCCCACCGCTAGAGTGGTGGGGCAGACGAGGGCCTTGAGGCCGGTAAAGCAAAAACCTGGAACATGCGGTGAATAAATACTTACTCGCTTTTCTTCTCGCCTAATACTTCACGAGGCGAAGCGACTCTTTTAATTATTTGAAAATCGGGTAAAAAAAGATAATTTACCTGGTGATTTTTGAAATACACCTTTGGGAACCTGGTTCGAGAATTTTAAGACCCAAAAGTACTTGAAATTTTGAAATCCAAAAATCTTCAATTACTTCAATACGTTATATCACGGGGTAAGTGTGTGCACATACACGTGGGCATGAGCGTATGCGCGTTTACACGCAGCATCAGCTAAAAATTATTTAAATAAAAGGCGAGATGGTCGAATCATACACCGAATGTTCCCAGGGCAATATTCTCAGTATTAATTACTTGAGACTAAATAATTATTAAATAATCAAATCATATTCTGTTACAAAATTGTAAGAACGGCCTGAATCACTCTATTTTCTCACTTTAAAATATTAACAAGGGATTTAGGACGTCAATAAAGGTCTAGCGTTAGAGAGTAGTGAGAGAGTAGAGACTAGGGACCCGCACTTAATCTCTAGATTAGGTTGTAACGAAGTTACATTTTTAAGGCCGATATTATAGAAAATTAATTAGTCTGATGAATCGATAATCAGTAAAATCATTTTATCGACCTATGAGAAATAGCGCGAAATTTAAATTATCGGCGAAGCCTATTAATACCACGTATTAGAGAGAGAGGGTCATAAGAAACGTAATAGATCTGAGAGAGAGAGATATTGTGATGATCTTGTTGCCATGACGACTTCCCCACGCAACTCACCACAATAGTGGTGGGGGATAGCAAAGTGGGCGGAGCTAAACAGTATAAAAGAGCTGGATTTTGCGGAGATCGTCACTTTACCTGTCTCCGAGGTACTAGACCAACGAGACCGACGAGAGTAGTAGCTCACGTCGTACAATACAGAGTTGTAGCTCTGGCTAAAGGGTTGTAGCCTTTTAGTTGCCCCGGAGAGTAGAAG